GAGACTTCGACAATTCCACTGTAGAACAGTGATCAAATCCCCGACCTCATTTGGAAAATTATCCATCGAAGGAAATGATTGCTGCAATGAGGGGCCACTTCAATGTCAATTGCTTCAAGAGGGTCTTCACAGAAGGAAGCATTGCCAGAACAATGCTTTTGAGAGGATCAGAAATATTGAGGTACTTGAGAATATCGTCCACAATTTTATCAAATGAGAACAACCCGGATGAAGAAGGGGTTTCTGTTCTTAAAAATGGGCCATCAGAGGTTTTTGATGTCCCCGGGAGAGATGGAAAATTCTGGTTATAATCAGTTCTGCGGAAACCAGGAGGAGTTGAAATTTCCTTTTTTCCATCACTCCTTGATTTGGGCAAGCTGATTTGGGGTTCCTTATCTGCAACTTTCCGCGAACGGATGCGTTTTCGTTTCCGTGCAGAACCTTCCGGAAAACTGAAAGAAACTCCCTCCTCAGCCAAGTCAGAGTCAGACTCGTCATCAGACAAAACAGCAAAGGGATTTTTGTCGTTGGTTGATGGTGTGGCTGTTTTTAGCATTTCTGCAAAAGACTGCCTGGAACGCTCCTTAAGAGAGCGTTCTAGTTTCTCCCCGCGTTGTTTGTACGCCGGGCACGATGAGAGACCATGAAGAGTTCCCTTACAGTACACGCATTTTGGTGCAGTGACTGTGCAGGCGCCATCCTCGTGCTTCTCCCCGCATTTGGAACAGCGTGCCTTGCTGCCACAGTGAGAGGCCGTATGTCCCAACTGTTTGCAGTTTTGGCAGTTCATGACCCGAGGAACAAACAAACGCACAGGTAGCCGAAGTTTTCCCAACTCGATGTAGTGAGGAAGGGCTGAACCAGAAAAGGTCACCCGAAACGAGTCTGTGGGGGTAAAGCTCTTTTTACCCTCGCTGAAAGATACTGAGTTCAGCTTCTGGACTTCCAGTATCTCAACCGTGGGAAGCAAGGGGTTCTTGAAACGGCCAACCGCTTGCTTCGCCAAGATCTCGGGGGTCAGACTCGCTTCGGTGACCACACCTTCGATCTCCACATTACGAGCTGGGATGTACACTCTATACTCGAGTGTAAAGAGCTGGGAGGCAGCAATCTCGTTAGCTTGTTTCAGGTTAGAGACGACAACGCGAAGTTTATTGTACCTCACCTTCGAGATTTCGGTCACGGCCGAGAACCGCTTCGTCAGATCATTAGTAATTTGCATTACATTCAAAGGTTTCTTTTTGGGCTGAAAGTAAACAACCCATGGGCCAGTCGAGTCTTCTGGGTAGGCTCGCGATCGGGGGCTTATCTGTCCCTGTCCATTACCAGACTGAGATGACGAAGCAGGGATGGCATCATCCGATTTCTGGGATGACAGACGTTTTCGACCCTTCTTGCTATCGCGTGGCAAAGTGGTGTCGTCTTCCGACAAAACGTCCATTTCGTCTTCCGACAAAATGTCCATTTTGCCGTACTAGTGGGAGCGAAAAACGCTCTACCACTGCAACGATAATCAAAATTACTCGGACACAATACACGAAGAAAAAAAAAATACTAACACAGAAACACAAACTTAAAATTTAACAGATGGGAGAAAGAAAGAAACAAGAACAAAAACTTATCTGATAATCCTATACTACTATCACCGAGCGTTTACACAGCAGCAGCGGAGCGACGCGCAGCTTTGATGATCTTCGATCCGCGTGTGCACACACGATGATGGATGAGCGGTTTGAATGTGGAGGCAGATGCTGACACTCGATGACGATGATCCGTGTGCACAGGTATGCGTGACCACGCACCGATGGTGCGAAAAATGATTGGCGAATTGCCAATCGCCAAAACAATTTTCGATGATTCCGAAAACACACTTTCTTCTCAGAAAAAAAACTCACTTTTTGATAAATTTATCCGGAATTATGCCAGGAATCACTAAGCGAGAAAAACTGATTATTTACGTCAGATAATAGAGAGAAAACTTCCAAATTAACGGAGCGCGAAACAAGTCGACCGTACTTCTTGCTAGGACGCGGTGGTGGTGGATTGCTTTGTGAAGTTTGCAATTTTCTGTGTAGATAACCGAGTTGTTTTGTTCTCGACAAAACTATGACAAGACTATGCAAAAATAAACAACAGCGTAGCTTGCCAAAGTTTACCAAAGGGCATCCTATTAGATGATGTTGCAGGTGAGAAACTCTAGAATATCTACTTAATTTAAAAACATATCGAACACATGAATTAAGAGCCACCTTAAGTTTTTTGAACGTACCAGCAGATACATCATCGAGGAGAAAATCACATGCCAAAAAATAAGGAAGAAGGAGGCTTTTGAATGGTTTAATTTTAACATCAGTTCTAAGAAATGCCGTGAATACAACGTGCCCACACATCATTTGTTCATCGATTTCAAATCCGCATACCACACAATCGATCGAAATCAGCTATGGCAGATTATGCACGAGTACGGATTTCCGGATAAACTGATGCGATTGGTCAAGGCGACGATGGATCAAGTGATGTGCGTTGTTCGAGTATCGGGGACACTCTCGAGTCCCTTTCTATCTCGAAGGGGGTTATGGCAAGGTGATGGACTTTCGTGTCTGCTATTGAACATCGCGTTAGAAGGTGTGATCAGAAGAGCTGGGATAGACACGAGTGGCACGATCTTCAGGAAGTCCATCCAGCTTCTTGGCTTTGCTGATGACATTGACATTATGGCACGGAACTTTGAGACGATGGCGGAAACGTTCATCAGACTGAAGGCTGAAGCTAGGCAGATTGGACTTGCCATCAACGCTTCAAAGACAAAATACATGAAAGGAAAAGGTTCAAGGGAAGACAATGTTAGCCTCCAACCCCGAGTTCAGATTGACGGTGACGAAATTGAAGTGGTCGATGAGTTCGTGTATTTGGGCTCACTGGTGACCGCCGAAAATGATACCAGCAGAGAAATTCAAAGACGCATTATGGCAGGGAATCGTGCTTACTTTGGACTCCGGAGGACGCTTCGGTCGAATAAAATTTGCCGCCGCACGAAGTTGACTGTCTACAAGACGCTGATTAGACCGGTGGTCCTCTACGGCCACGAGACCTGGACTATGCTCGTGGAGAACCAACGCGCCCTTGGTGTTTTCGAACGTAAGGTGTTGCGTACCATCTACGGTGAAACGTGGAGGAGGCGAATGAACCACGAATTGCACCAGCTGCTGGGAGAACCATCCATCGTTCACTTTGCAAAAATTGGGCGACTACGGTGGGCTGGGCACGTCGTAAGAACGCCGCACGACGACTCAGTGGAAATGGTTCTAGAAAGTGACCCAACAGGAACAAGAAGAAGAGGCGCGCAACGGGCAAGGTGGATCGACCAAGTAGAAGGTGACCTGCGGACCCTCCACAGACTACGAGGTTGGCGAAGTGTGGCCACGGATCGAGTAGAGTGGAGACGACTTCTTCGGACAGCAGAGGACAACAAGGCCTTAGCCTGATTGGTAAAGGTTGGTACACTTAGATTATTTTAGGTTATGATGAGTAGTCAGAGCCACCTGGGTACTTGGCACTGATGAAGTCTGCAAGTAGTAGACGAAATGAGCGTATATGTCAGAGATAAGCAATTATAACGGAATTTAAAGGAAATAAACCAACACACTCGAAGCTCTTCATAAAGACATTCCGTTAAGAGGTTCGACCAATTTAAACAATTGATCTATTTTATGTCTTTGTCTAAACCTTTACAGGATTGCAGATTTTTCTAAAAATTGGCACGATAATAATTTCTCACTCTTATATTTCAACCTCATACATATAAGCTGTTTTTTAAAGCTCGTGAATGTAATGGAAATAGATTATAAACATTCATCATAAATTTAAAACCGCACACAAATTACGAATGTGAAACCCTGTTTCAACACCATATTACCACAATAAAATATGTAGTCGCTTGTTTCAATTTATTTCTCACACCGAACACCATGATGCTGCCAAGGAATATAAATGTTTGCTAATTGATAAAACGAAAAACAAATTGAAAATTAACAGCAGTAATATTCCTTTCTGATTGTCACTGAACTATATATACGACATGTTTGAAACTCGTCTTGAGTTGCTTGCATTTTGAGCATAGTGTTGTATTAAAGTTATAATCAAGTTGCGGGAACCATATATATAAAACCAAACACATGTTTTGTATTGCATCCAGCTCTTGCACTTTGTCTTTATAAATATTTTCTATACAGGTGATCAGATCAAAATACCAGATACTTAGTTTGTTATAAATTAGTTACGTCAATTCGTGTTGCTAGGGTTGTTCGATAAATTTTCCTCTGGTGATCAATAAGCCCACGGTTTACGGCTCTAAACATATCTACAATTTGTAAATATATTCATTAAGGTTTCCATTACACTATATTGAACACATAACAAATGGCAAGCTCCTTGCAGTATCCATGTTTTCAGCTCTTTAAATTTAGAGCAAAATAAGCAAATCAACTCGTTTCTGGTACATTAGTGAATGCGTACACATTAGATCGTATCAATTAATTCATTTGCGCGTCGCGTCGCTGTCAAAACATTTCTGATAGAGTAAAATAATATCGACGATAGCACTGAAAACACATTTCATTTTACAGTCGCTCAGCTCTGACAACAGATTGAATAGCAGATTAAACTCCTGCTCCTATCATGTTTTTCATTAAACCAACCACGTACTGTTAAATTATATCACATTCAACCGGAATAACATCCGCTTTCCCCCATCACACCACACTGGCATCGTGGGCCGGGCGAAGCACGTTTCGCTTATAGTGACATGTAATTGAATTTGGAAAATGGAAGTTTAATACAATCATTGTCGATTGCAAGAGAGCTTGATCGGTGGACAAACAACAGAGAGCGGGAGTGATAGCATTCCCTCTAGGATATGAAATGATTGCTACAAAATGGTTAAAAATGGCATCGCATCCGTGTGACACATTTTTCTTCTCTTCTCTTTTCCATCCCCGCAGATTCACCCCTCCCGGAAGCATTCAAGTGGATAACAAAGCACTATTCAACCAGCAGCCACCAGACCACGCACCAGCATGTGTTTTAACGTTTTCACCTGAGTCACAAATCAACGTTCATTCTCGATGCGCTTCCCTTTCAAGGTGAAAAAAAAAAACACAGAAACGATAAAAGCACATGAAAACTGCACTCAACAAAATGAATACATAAATAACCCACGGCATAAATCATAAACCTTGTTGAGCTTTTCCCGATTCGTCAGCGGTGGAACCTAGTGCTACAGTGAATCAACTACGGAAGCCGTAATCATCCTAGGCATCGTGCAACGTACCCACCACCAACGGCCCAGGATTCGAATCCTACCTGCATAGATGAAACGAAAAGGAGGACTTCCTTCACAGCGTGTTTGGCCGTGCGCACATGTGAAAGTTCCGATTGCACAAAAGTGCGCCAAAAAGTCGTCCTACAAAGTTGGACGCAGTCGTTAGGCGGAAAAATACCGCGGAAAGTGATGTAAATTTGATTGCATTTTTTATGCAGCTTGTCATCCCCCTCTTTGCTCCGGTTAGCTGTGACCCTGGTTCTGATGAATATGGAAAATGTGCGGCGATTGGAAGTCGAATGGCATTTTTCGACGAAGCGCATTGTTTGCAAAATTTGTGTCGACCGGAAGCTAAATCCGCGGGTGCATGGCTACTGTTAAGGGAATCCGTGGAATTTATCATTGCTGCAGAAAATATTTGGTGAATGGGAATAAATTCAATGTTAGATTCTTACTCATGTGCAATGGAAATTGGTTTGATACCTTGTTGGATCCCATGATGTTTGGCTCAGGTGTTCCAAGAGTCGCAGTTTTCACCGTTATGTGTGTGATAGGGTTTCCGGGTACAAAGCTCCCATTTGAATTACATCGTGCATTCATTAGGGTTAAAACAATGCCAGCATGATTCATTTCTCATCAATAGAGTTTTGTATTTCAGAAACTCACAAATCTTAACAACATTTTTGATCTACTGAATTTGAATTTATAATTCAAAAATTTGCATTTAAATGGGGTTTGAGAAGGTAATAAAAAATATGTATGCTAAGTAATGTTTTATGTTAAGGATTGGAAAATCTTCAACGACAAACAGACCAGAAAATATGTAAATATAGATTTATATAATGTTCATTTAATTTATTTCGAAATTATTTGCTAAAATTTTAATAGCTCAAAATGTTATCACCTCTATTATCTATTCCGTTCGAAATGGATTGCCCATACAACAACAAACATTTTTTTGTATGGGAATTCCGTTTCGAATGGAATACAGAATATAAATGTATATTATACTGTAATGAACCAATTGCTGGACGGGTATCAATCTGGACATTTAATTTTGTATTCAATATTTTATCCTGTAACATTATAAATATTTGTAACCGATCATGACAATACTATACACTCAAAAAAATCTACACGTCATCATCATGTGTATCACACTTAATTTTGCGCTTATTGTGAAACACATCCATTTCATGAGTGAATCTTATGCTATGAACCATGCCTGAACACTATGGATTTGAATTGTGACACACTTGGATTATATGTGCCTTATGTGGTGATATCAATAGCTTTGCACATCATAGTTCAATATTCTACAATATTCTACTTTATCGACTTCTACTTTGCCGACCCTAAAAATTAATCGACAAATATATAAACAAAACTGCCAGAGGCCAAGAGCTTACACATATCTTTTTAATGGGTCTGATTTGGGATTCGATCATGGACTGTTGGGGTGTGCAGTTGCCGGAGTCTTCGTTCGATCCCACTGTGCCACGGTTGTTCTCATATATATGAGGCTGGTTGATAGGATAAAGTTACAACTCTTGTTTTCGATGTTTACCTTTCTGAGCAAGCAATTCACATCGCATTGAAATGCAAAACACTTTAAATCCATCTGTTTTGAACAGTAGTGTGATTCAATGTGCAATACACACGAATAGATAGTGAAAGATTTTCAACATTTCAAAAATTGGAACACTTGAAATTAACGTGTATAACACTTTGAACCAAGGTGAAATACACTTAAAGTAAATGTGATTGTGCATTTAAAAAATCAAGTGTTTAAACACTTCGATCAAACGTGTGGATTTTTTTGAGTGTAGGACCATCATAATGTTTCTTCCCAACTTAGTGTTCTTCATAGGCTTTCAGAGACAGTAATTGAGAGTTTTCAATGCCAACCAATGCGAGAACCTGGCCACATAGAAAATTGCTGTCTTCACCTAAGTTGTTCAGGTAACCAAGTCCTTTCGGATTATGGTCATATTTTTTCAGAACTATCTCACTACGCGGCGCTAGTGTTCACATGAACTTCCCTAATATGTTATGTATGGTAACTTGTCCTGTTGCTGTGCAATGTGAGAACACGAAACGGAATACCCAAGTAGCATTTCTTGTTTTATTGCACTCTATTAGTGGTTTTTGAGATCTCTTTTATAAAACCGTCAATAAAATTAATAGCTCCAGCACAACCTTTTGATAAAAGCTATAAGATCGTCTTCCAGTTTAGTGGACCACTCTTGATAAGGTTTAAAAAGCTTGTTTGAGAATCGCAATAAAGCTGTCTAAAAACCATTAGTAAGAAAGCCCCATACTCTACAAAAGGTTCTCATAGCCTCTTTAAGAGTAATATTGTATTCAAGCAGTTTTATTATGCTTTCGTGAAAATCAGTTATAAATCCAATTAAGTTTTTATTGCTTCAAATCAACCGCCATACAATAGCTTGCTGTTATTCTGTTCTGCTGAAACTTTTTATTTCATATGGAAATCTTTAGCGGTAAAAATAGGTTTGAGTGTTGGTGTCAAGATCACCATGCAATCAATTTTGTTTCATGGCGACAGTAGTGAAAATCTGAAAGACAATATATGACTTTTTAGAAGTTCCAAAACATATGCACATGAAATTGTATCGTGTATATTGGGATAATATGAGCGTTAAATAAATGCGCCTCCAAAATAATTCAAGTTAACAAAAAGATTGTTTCAGAAATCAAATGAATTTGATGGAATCATCTTAATTTTACAGAAAATAGATCTCAATAAATAAATTCATGCCAATGCACACTGGAAATCATTTTGGATCTCTAGTTTAGCCATTATGTAATTGCAATTTTTTGAATTTTATTCCAAGGCTTAATGGCAAGAAAAACACCAAGTGCAATTTCTTAAAATGTTTAATGCTTACATAGGATGAAAGCAGAACAGAAAAGCATAATACATTAGACTGATGCAAAATTTGACTTTTTCGCTCCACAGTGCTTAAATGGTTTCAAATCGGGTCCTGATTAGCCTCCAAAAGTTACAACTCATTTGGTTAGAAACAGACTTCGCACAAACCATTTGAAGTTTATATGTAAATTACTATGGGAAATCTCAACTTTTTCTTCATTGCCTTCTAGTCTTTTTCCATATTAAGCTGCGAAACAGTTCGATAGCAATTCTTACAGAAAATTTTCTCAGCTACAACTTTGCTGAAAATCGTTTCTATGTAAAACGAGACAGAAAAAAGTTATGAATTATTTAAGAGATTGGTAAACTTATGACATGATCAAGCAGCTGCTCTGTAGGCAACACTGTATTTTGCAGTGTGACATAGTAGCCATGATTTTTGTGTCCTATTCAACGCCCCAGAAACACCAATGTTGCCTGCTGATCAGTTGATTGAGCATGATCATAAGACATCAGCGCATTGAACCATTGATAACTTTCGATCCTTGCATTTAATCAAAAAAAAGGTCTTCAGCAAAGTTGGGAAAATTTCCTACAAGTACAGTTGAAAGTTTTTAAAGCAAACCGATATGGTGAATTATTAGGTTCACCATAGTAATACCCATACAAACTTCAAATGGTTTGTGCCATCTCAGTTTCTCACCAAATGGGTTCAAATTTTGAGAGGTTAGTCAGGATCAGATTTGGAAACGTTGAAGTACTGTGGAGCGAAAATTTCAAATTTTGCATCGCTCTAATAATACATGCATTATCATCCTCCAACTCCAGATAATTATATATTCCCTCTTCAGGAGTCATTTTTGGTGTAGCAATGTGTCCTTTCGAAGTGAAGATGATTCGGAATGGTGAGGAGGCACACTCTGTACAGCTTCCTTTGTGACATCCGCAGAAAATACAGCGGCATTTTTTTTTTCTTGGTTGGAGTTATTCACGAAGGTTTGTGGTTGTTTGTAGCAAATAAACGGGCTCATGCTAAAAATTTTGTTGATTTTCTTTGCGCTCTGCTTGGAAGTACTGGAAAGTTTTGATTCTTTTCTATGTTATAAAAATAAATCACAGAAGTGTATATGACAAGTTGCAACTGAATGCTTATAATTGTTTTAAAATAACTGTAGCATGGCCAACTAGTTTTATTGCGCTTACTTATATAGCAATATAAGGATTGATTTTTGGGTTTTATAAGGGCAATTCATATTGTTTTTTTTGTACTTCAAGGCAATCATTAAACCTTTCATTAGTGAAAATAGCATAAGTATCAGTTCGTTTTTTATAAGCTTTATAGGGGTTTTGTAGATAGCTATAAGAATGTTCCATGACTTGCATTGTATATGACCGTCATAAAGCTGTAGGTAATGGTTGCAGCTGCAATAAAACCTTTATAAATTTTGAATATAGCCAAGCAGCTCTAGATTTGTTTTTTGGGTCGGGTTGACGTGTTTAATGAAATCGATTTTGGACGCCATTTTAAAATCCAAGAGAGGGACCATCAATTCAAGAAAAGCTGTCAAATACCCTGCAGTATGGGTATTTCCGGAAAGGAAACGACGTGTAGAGGCCGGAATCGATTTTCGGCCTATATACGTCGTTCTCCTTGATAGTTTACGTTAAAGCAAAGGCCGCTATGTTGGAATTCAAAATGACGTCTGGAATAGATTTCCGGCCTCTACACGACGTTCCCTTTCCGGAAATACCGATATTGTGGTATTTAACAGTTTTTTATTGAACAAATTGCTGCCATATTGGATTCCAAAATGCCGTCTGGCATCGATTTACAGCCTCTACACGTCGCTCTTATCCGGAAATACCCATATTGTAGAGTATTTGACAGTTTTTCTTGAACTGATGGTCGCCCTCTTGGATTCCAAAATGCCGTCTGGCATTGATTTCTGGCATCTATACATTATCCCAGCACTGCACCGGATCTTGCTCGCCACGTTTTGGAACATCTCAGACCAGAATGCGCTGCCTGCTGCCTCAAGGAAGCCCCTGAGCCACTCAACCCAATCGCGCTTGCTGATTCCTGTCATCGTAGTCGTTCTGGCCCTGTGGTTGAGAATGGTGAAGGGGTCTTCCAACTTTCTAGATCAAGCAAGTATGCGTTTGTTGAAAACAGTTCTTCTCCTGATCCGTCTCAGTGTTCAGAGTTTCGGCTGACCGATCATTCTGCAGACCTCCAACCGACTTCGTTCGACCGCCTGTTGGTGTATTACCAGAACGTTCGTGGCCTGCGAACAA